AACGCGAGTTTTGGGCAGTAGAGTAGCACTTGTTGTTTGTCATTTCTCCGGTTTTATGTTTACGTGGCGCGATGCAATGCAACGCGTGCGTAAAAAGACAGTATAAGTCATTATAATCAGTAATTATGTCCCCACTGGATGCAACAAATGCCTCGTTTGTAATGGGTTTTAATGTTGAGGAGAAACAATAATGTACAGTATGTGGAAAATAATGTGTTTTTTAAACTTTTTTAACACATTTCATTACACTTTTTAGCAACATCATATGACCCCTTTAAACTGTATTTTCTGTAAATAGAGCAAATACAATTGGCTATTTATTTGTCTCGTGAGACTGACAAACAATATCTGAAGTTTAAGCATCTCAAATTTACTGAGCACTTGTTGAGCACTTGATATCCATTTATTTAGTCACAGACCTTTTTTGCGCTCTATTCACAGAGAGCGACTCTTTTGTGGATGTTACCTGGTGGAGACGGAGTACCGTTCCCGCAGGTGTTTACACGGCACTCCAGCCACTGTGATGTTCTTAATGTCGTCCTTCTGAATGCCCAGGTTCGAGCCCTTAATAGTCACAGCTATTCCTCCTTTCAGCGGCCCGAATCTTGGCGTGATCTGAAACACATTATAAAACCACCCCAATCATCAGAGATGACCAATCTCACTAAAACAACAGTAAAAGATCATTTTTTTCTAAATGAGCGAATGTATTCCCAGCAGTAATTCAGCCATGTGAATAGAACATGACCTGAGGTGTCTATTGATTTTTACTCACGTCGGTGATCTGGGGGTCAGGACACTCCTCGGGCTCTCTCGAGGCACAGAGCTGCTCATACACACACGAGCTGGTCTGCGTGCACCACACACACTGGTATTTGGGGTCGGCGTTCTTACACAGGCTGCAGTCTTCACGTCCCAGAGAGCAGTTATACAGAGTGACTGAAACACAAACCCAGAGTCAGACCACCAGATGAACTTACTTAGGACTTAAAAAAAAAAAAAAGTTTAAAAGGTATAATTTACCCCCAAAACAAACATTTCTGGGTTATATCTAAACCGGTAGGAACTGTTTTGCATGAATAATACAATAAGTAAATAAAGTAATGAAAAATAATATAAATAAAATAAAGAAGGCATTAAATGTTTTTACATAAATAATATAAATGAAAACAGAGCATTTTATTTAACATAAATAAAATAAAATCTTGGCTTTGGGTGAAAAACTGAATTTAACTTGTAATATGAGAAGTAGTGAAGCACAATTAGTAAATGAATAATTTTTGAGTCAAATCTTTTGAATGAATCAATAGATCTAATTGACAAAACCAGTCTAAATTTTCTGTCATTGTTTACTCATGTACAAATAATATAAATAAATAATTCAACTCATGCACTACAGTCACATCTTCTAATGTCATTCTTTTGAGTGAGAAACAACTGAATTTGAGTTGCGTACGTTTTTAAGCTTTTTTTAAATTATTTGAGTCAAATGGATCAGAGTGCTGTCTGATTGTTGCATGCAAAATTTGCATTTAGTGTTAATTTTGACAGGCATTTTTGATTTAGTCTTAGACTATTAAGCATTTTCGTCTCAAGATAAAGACTGTGTCACATTTTAGTCATTTGAGTCTTTCATAGTTTTAGTTGACGAAAAGTCATTGCATTTTTGTCAACTTTTAGTCATTACTTTTAGTCAAACTGCAGTTACCAACATTCATTTAGGTAGCTATTTTATATGTAGTCTTCAAACGAAAGACTACATATAATGTAGAATAGTCATTAATAAAGCATATTAAACCAGTCCTCAGGTCCTTACACTGGCTTCCAGTTATATTTAGGACTGATTTTAAAGTACTTTTACTCGTTTATCACAGAATAGTCATTAATTCTTCTCTCTTTAGACCAAATCAATTAAGCGTATGAGAAATCTGAATCAAGGATTGATTTTGGAAAAACTTGAATAAATTATGACAATTAAAATTTTTGGGTGAACTATCCCTTTAACAGTAGTGAAAAGGAAGCAACTTATAAAAATTATAGTCGTTCATATATAATATATATAATTTATAATTTTTGAAAAAGAAGCAGAAGAAGACAATAAGACAAATACGAAAGAGATACAAATTAAACTCATTTTTCAGATACAGTAGGTTTACTTAACATATTTATTTAACATCTTTTGTTGGTTAACATTAATGACACGGATAGGTACTTAATTAGGAATGCTGTCCCTTTAAGACGGAAGGCATGCATGTAATACTGACACACGTTCAGTTTTCACCCACCTGTTTACGTTCACTTAATCCATAACCGACTGTATTTACGTGATATACTCTACACGATAGATATTTGGACTGCTGTGTGTGTATTTGAGCACCGAGAACTGATCGCGCACTGTATATGAGAACTGAAGAAGTGGAGCGTGCGCGAGAGAGAGCACTTCTATCAGTTCTCATATACAGCAAATTTGCTAATTCACAAGATCAATACATCCTTTATTAAACCGCTTTGTCGAATTTAACGCATCCTTACGGAAGTGTCGAAATGCTGAATCAATTCATTCACTTCTAACAGCGCTTAAAGCGAGGAGCGTCATACACATAGAGGACAGAGCATTGCATTATGTTCTTTATTTGTATTTGTATATTATGTTCATAATGTATTATTTAAAGGGGAAATTCACGCAACAATGAGTAACAAAGGAATAAGCAGCTGCATTCTGATTACTTTTATGTCACTGATAAGGCTTTTATATTTAGTTTGGGGTAGTAAGGGTTTTATAGGTTTGACTGAAATAATAACGCAATAACTGACACTTTAAATCAATGTTTTCAACAACAACAACAACAAAACAATTGAAAAAAAAAAAAGATAAAGACAAAAAGTAGCCATTGATAATATATAAACATGTATCCAAATCCAAATGTAATAAAATTTATTTGTGTGATGACAATTTCTTAGCAATTAGGGATTGTTACATAGGGCTATACAGGCATCTAGTGGCTACAGATAATAAATTGTGCAACATTTTTATCTTAACAGTCAATTTACAAATAATGCATTCAGATTTGTGGAACTCACAATGCACTGAATCGCCACAAATTAGTGTTGTTACTATGACAACCAATTTGAATGTGACAAGAAACTGGTGTCCGAAATGTTATATATTATATATATATATAATATATAAAATTATGGGAGGAGGGGGGAGTGATTTCTCCTAGGGCGTCAAAATGGCTAGAAACGGCTGTGCATATCCAAATTGAACTGATTGGATTCTCAAGTTAACAGACAGATCATTGAGTGGTCATGAGAGTCAAATTATTTCCTTAATGGCTAACAACTCATGAAAGGGAAAGATTCAAAGTAAAAACATCTTACATTTCGATCAGTTCATCACACAAAACTACTGAATGACTTCAGAAGACTTGGGATATAGTGTATCAATCATAAGCACCAATTTCATGAAACGTTTATGGTACTTTTCTTTTCTGCCCTCATTCAGCTTAACTCCACTACAAGAGCAACCGGCACATTCTTCAAAATATCTCCTTTCATGTTCCACAGAAGAAAGAGTCATACGATTTGAGGCTGAGTAAATGATGAAAAGCGAGCGAGAGTGATTACCGCTAAGACTGCTGTCGATCTTCTTTCCCGTGTATTTGTCTCTTACGTGGAACAGAACGCTGGTCTCGTGAGCTCTATCAAAGTAAAACTGGAAGAGACAGATCAGAGGGTGAGTCAGACGCGCTTTCAGAAGCGTCTCATTTGGACACAAGCTCATCTCAGGTAAAAATATTCCTCTCAGTCACAGGCAGTTTGGCAGGAAGTCAAAAAGCAGCCGAACAGTATACGCTGCTCTCTCCGCTCATTACCTACAGATCTCTCCTCCACATTAAACACTAGAGATGAAGTACAGGCTGGAGACTTTCCAACAGGGGGCGCTATAATCTCAAACTCCCAGAAGAGCCACTGAAGTGGAGGTAGGTGTCTCTTTACGTTGGTAATTGGTTGTGCATCATTTAGCAAGAGCTTTTTATATAAAAAGATTTACAGTAGACGAAAAACAGTCTGCCTTGGGCAACATGTGGATAGAGAGAGAAAGTCAAAGATCAGTGTGTGTGTGAGTGTGTGTGTGTGTGTGTGTGTGTGTGTGTAACTAACCACATAACCGCTGAAAGAGTAGAAGGGTCCCGGCTCCGTCTTGACATCTTCCTCAAACTTCATCAGCTCTGTTCCGATGGTGAAATCACGGCCCTGGAGTGTTACAATTCGTAAAAAATCAACAAAAACCCTTTTGTTGCATTTATGCACAGGTAGGAGGACAGGAAATTATGGAGGAACACATTTGGAAAAAAGTACAAGCCAAATTCAGACAGATCTGTTTAGAGGAAACTGAATTACGATTTATAACAGATCACGAATGCATTATAAGTGCACGGACACTTTTTTTCTCTCTTGCTGTCCAGAAAACATCTAAGCATCCTTTAAAGAGGTGGTTGACTGCGATTTCACTTTTTATCGTTAGTTAGTGTGCAATGTTGCTGTTTGAGCATAAACAATACCTGCAAAGTTACGACACTGAAAGTTCAATGCAAACGGAGATATCGTCTTTTAAAATTCTGGCAGTTTAATGTCAACAAAAACGGTTGGTAGGGACTACAACAAGTTACTTCCCGGGTTCGTGACATCACAAACCCAGATAAACCCCGCCCTCAGGAAAAGGCAGCAAAGGGGGCGGGGCCATGCTGCGCTGCTTTAGAGAAGAGGAAGAGAAAACTAGAGGTGCACATAAAAATCTATTCATATATCATGATTCTGTCTTCTAACAATCATCTGTCTTCTAATAATGGATTCACAAGTTTCAAAATCAATGTTCTAAAGCAGCGGTTCTCAATTCTGTTCCTCGTGTTGCCCTGCTCTGCACATCTCTCTCTCTCTCTCTCTCTCTCTCGCTCGCTCGCTCGCTCGCTCTCATTCAGCTCAGCTCCAACAATGAACTGTTCCAATTATACAGTTATTTTCACAGCGTATCTAAAAGTATGAGACAACAACAAACAAAAAACACACCATTAAGAGCCATGCTTGCACAGGTTCTGCACGATCCTCTTCAATAATATCCTCTGCGTCTCAATCGGGCTCAAATTGATAAGCAATATTAATGACGTCATTGTTTACAATACAACCGGAGCACATGCTGCTGAGGTGAGGGACGGGACGATTAAACGAGCACTAGAGGCAGTTTAGCCAATCACAACACATTGGACTAGCTAACCAATCAGAGCCCATCACCTATTTCTGAGGGAGAGGCTGCATAAAACCAGGAAATGATCAGCGCGTTTATAGGAGAAGGGACAGAGCGGTTTAGAATAAAAGTAAATTATGTGAAAAAACATTTTTATTTTTATTTTAAATTTTTAAAAACGAAGCATTAACACATGTTAGAATGCACCCCATAAACACAATCAAGCCTAGAAAAAACCCAGTGAACCACCCCTTTAAAACAAGATTGATTACAAAATTAATTACAAAATTGACTTGAATCTAAATTTTGTAAAATAATGACAATATATGTTTTTATTTATTTATACACACACACATACATATATATAATTTTTCAAATATATAAAATATTTCATTTATGCTGAACTTTAGTTTTTTATTGGCAATATTTGTATTGTTTTAAGAATTAAATTCAAATAGCAAAATTCAAATAAATAATAATAATAATAATAGCAACAAATAAAATAAAATAAAATAATTTGCCAATGGATATGAAAACAATCTTAATATTAGGGGTGTGAATTTTACATTTTAAAAATGATTGATTATATAAACAAAATGTCTTTGCATTATTTTAAAAAGGCTTATAGTTATTAATATAAATATTAATATATGCTTTTAGTATTAACATTTTTATTTTATTTATATTCTGTAACTGTAATGTAATTAATAGTTACAGTAATTTCAATATATTATATATTAAAATATACATAATATTATATTATATTACATTATATTATATATTATATTATACAATATTTTAATATATATTAAATATATTATTAGTGATCAATTAGGTTACTTAATAAACATATGCAGTTTATTCCAACTTAAAATGTGTTAAAATGTGAAAAAACAACAAACAGCTCTACTTAATATATTACACAACTGTGTCAGAAAACAAGACAAAAACATTGATTTAATGACTTTGAATGATCTTGTGACCTTGAAGAATGACATGTGATGTAAACAGAACTCACCTTGTACGGGTCCAGATTGATGCCCTCAAAACTGATCCGGGTTTTGTATCCGACCGGGATAAGGACGGGATCTGGATTCTCGAACCGTGGACAGCTCTTGTTCTAGAACACAGAGGAGACGGAGAACTCAGGAAAGCTGAATCTGCTGAAGTCCACACTAATCTACAACAATTTTCTGAACGATTGTTAATTTACACCTGACAAAAATGAATGAACATCCATTGAAACTGAAAAACTCATTAACTATGATGGCGTGCATGAATAAAACAGTTTATTTACAGCTGAAAGCTATTAAATCCTCACTGACATTGGTGACTGTGTCTAATTGCATAATTGCATATAATCCATTTTTTCCCTCCATTTTGTTTTTATTTTGCCGATTCAGCTAATGTGTTTTGCATTAAAACTTTCCGAGTAAAGTCATTTAGTTTGTGTCCATTTCATCAGCCATGTGTGGCTGTTCCAGGAAGCAGCAAATATCAAAGAGTGTGAAGGCCATTTCTGAAATTGCTGGCACTGGATATCGATAATGATTCAGCTGTATGCTTCATGAAATGGTTTTAAGAAAATAAATAAATAAAACATCCAGACCAGTTGGATCTGGTGTTTGAAGACGAGAATCACATGAAACTAATCAAAGTGGCCCAAATCAATGGCGCTGATATCAGACATACATCACCGAGACGTTTACTCGATGTGTGCTTTTTCAAACATGTCATTTTTAGCACGTTTCCTCATCTGCAATACTGCAATACTTAGAAGATGTTTTTATTTGCCTAATGCACATTCCTGGTCTTAAAGGAATAGTTCACCCAAAAATGAAAAAATTGCATCTAAGATATAGATGAGTTTGTTTCTTCATCAGAACAGATTTGGAGAAATGTAGCATTCCATCACTTGCTCACCAATGGATCCTCTGCAGTGAATGGGTGCCGTCAGAATGAGCGTTCAAACAGCTGATAAAAACATCCCAATAATCCACAAGTGATCCACACCACTTCAGTCCATCAGTTAATGTCTTGTGAAGTGAAAAACTGCATGTTTATAATAAAATAATAATGCGTCCTCATTCTGACGGCACCCATTCACTGCAGAGGATCCATTGGTGAGCAAGTGATGGAATGCTACATTTCTCCAAATCTGATGAAAAAGACAAGCCCATCTACATATTAGACGGCCTAAGGGTCAGTACAATTTCAGCACATTTTTATTTTTGGGTGAACCATTCCTTAAAACATTATCAAATGCATTAATAAACAATTATCCATTACAGATGACATAATTATGACAACACTTGCAGTTTAAACAACTCAAGGATGGCTAGCAGGTGCATTTCTTTCTGTTTCCTTTCAAAAAAGATTGAAGTAAAATGGTTGTGAACACCATTTCAGGTTGATTTTTGGAATTTAATACCTTTTATGAAGTTTTGGTGTCGTACACAATCAGTAAAACATTTGGGGTTGGTATTATCTTTGTACGTTTTTGGAAGAAGTCTCTTATGCTCACCAAGGCTGCATTTATTTGGTCAAAAACTATTATCACAATTGAAATAACTTTATTTCTATTTGAATATATTTTAAAATGTAGTGTATTCCTGTGATGACAAAGCGGAGTTTTCTCTTTTATTTCAGGATTCTTTGATGAATAGAAGATTCAAAAGATGTATTTGAAATAGAAATCTTTTGTAACATTATAAATGTTTTACTTTTGATCAATTTAATGCATTCTTACAGAATAAAAGTATTAATTTCTTTACAAAAAAACCCTTTCTGACCGGTAGTGTATGTGTACTAAGTGAGGCGTGTAATAGACTGTAATACTGATAAAAAGGAAGAAAATGGTGCGTGTGAGCTCATTGGATTCTCTGTTCAGTACCTGTCTGTGTTTGATTATATTGGCGCCGGTTTCTGCGTCGCTCAGATCCGTGCAGGTGTGCGCCGCAATGTTCCACTGACATCCCCAAGCGCTGCTTACACAGGAAGTGCATCTGCGGAGAAACACGCGGAGCGATTAAAGCAGAGGTTTCGAATCAGAGTTCTAGTTACATTTTTCATCAGTGTGTAAATGTTTGGAGTAAAAGCATATAGTCCCGGTGCACTTCAAATAATACTCATTCATCAGCAATGTCCCAGAGCTCTTAAAAAACACAAGGAGAAGGGGGAAAAAAGAGATGAGAGATCGACTTTCATGTGTGATGAATGAATGCGAAACGAAAGCAATTTCCTGCTCTTGGAGGACAAAAAAAAAAAAAAACGTAAGCAAGTCTCTACAGAAGCAAATTCAATTCCAGCTTCAGTGATGCATTACAATTTATGAGTAAACCTCATCGTTACAGATGCTCGTATTCATTATACACACAGTGGTGTCAGCATAAAGCGGAGACACACACTCGCTGACAATAGGAGTCCAGACAGCAAACGTACGGCGTATTTTCTGCTTTCCGGACTGTCGCTGCGCAGTTGTAGAACTTGTACTCGCTGGAAGCCACCTCCACGCTACCGTTCACAAAGATGTGGACCGGAACCGCCACGAAATCTGCAAAACATGCACAGGAGAAGGTTAGCCGATCACAGCAAAGGCCATCAGCCTCAAACTCTTAAAGACACAGTAGCAAAACAGTCTTAAGAAACCCTGATGAACATTGTAAGTGGACTTGAAGTAGTTCTTATGACTATATAAACTATATTTCAAGTATAGAAAGGACTGCATAAGGAACAGACTGAAATGTCATAATGAGTTGAACTGGATCGGTCAGATTTTTTAACCAAATCAACTGATTCAGGGGAAAGAATCAACTTAAAAGAGTGATTCCTTCACAAGTTAGACAGCTAAACGGAGGAGAAGATTAGCCAGACTGACTTCTTTTATGGTGATTTTCTTTTGCCCTTTTAGTAGCTTGACAGATATGGTCACTATGAAATGCTGAAACCCAGCGTGAAATTTCATGATAATAACAAAATATAGGTTTGAAATGGCATGAAAATAATAAAATAAATCAAATAATTAATAGAAAAACAATTAAATATTAAAATACATACATATTTTTAACATGACAATTATAATAAAATAAAATAAAAATAAAATGGTTTATTATGAATAAAAAATTATTAAAATATTTTAATTTAAAAAACGTTATTATTATAATATTATTTAAGTTAACTATTGCTTTAAACCCCACATAATTCTGGACCATTAAAAGAACTGGACTGCAACATTCTAATAATTCTAGTAATAATAATAATAATTTTAAATAATTGTTTAAAAGATAAATGAATAAAAAAATTAAACATAAGAATAATAAGATAAGATAAAAAGATATTAAAAATGATTTATTATGAACAACACCTTATTGCTTTTATTAATGGTATTAATGGTAATAACATGTATTATAAATACACAAAAATAATATAACATCTTAAATTTAAACTATTGCTTTAAAAGCCACATCATTCTGGAACATAACAACTGTAGCCAAATAAATAAAATAATAATAATAAAATATTGAATAATTATTTATTAATCATTTAATTTAATAATCAATTTAATGTAGTAAGTATTCATTAAATAATTGAATGAAAATTGCAAGTACGTGCAATTGAAATGTAATACAAAATAATACAAAATGAGAAGCTTTCAGGAACAGATAGCCCTTCATTAGGGCTAGGGTACTGAACAGTTCATTCAGGGTCCTGTGTCGTGACGTACCTTGGTGCGCAGGTGTCGCTGGTATAAGATGCTGTTCAGGTAAGCGGCAACTGATTCGGCCGTCCACCATCCTGCCGTTGCTCTGATAAGAGCCGAAGGCGCAGTGGATACGGCCTGAATCTCTGAGGATCGGCAGCGCTCGGACGTTTATCTCAACCTGAGGGACATTTAACAAACTCTCAACTCTGATGTGAGAGAAAGGAGCAAAACAATCCGAAATCTTTGATACTATTACATACTGTATATACAGATTACAGTGAGGCGACTGCTTTGCGTTTATTCCATGCATTCCAAAATAACACTTCCAAACTGTCTGAATAACTGTTAAGATTTCATAAGAATGTTCTTGAACAAATAACAACTTTTCTCTCAATAAAACAGCTTGAAGCGCCCTCTTAATACACACATCCCGTAATCAGAGAACGTACTGCATTGAAAAGTGCGCAAAACACAATGGCAGCACCTTCACAACAGCATTCTAAACACACCATCAGCGCCCATTGTGTTTTCCCCGTCTGTTCACCAATATGGCCTCATTGTGTGGGAGTCATGCTCAGCTTTTCTCATAATCAGCACTGAGCAGTCTGGTTTAAAAATAAGACTCTGGTAATTGTGTCCGCGACACTCAGCCTGGTACCTGCTGGGACTTCAAGCAGCTGAGATTTGGCGGGTGGAAAGAGATGATTTTCACACACTGTTGGGTCGGACTCCACAGCCAACCGTTCTTTTCCTCCGCGCGACTGCACTCCGATCTCCTGGTGCATCTACGCAATCAATAACGCATTATAACATAACACTCCTCATGCAATTAAATACAACAACATTATAATACAACACTTGTGTTCAGGGAAAACACAATAATTGAGTCTTTACACTGCAATTTTGTATTCTGTAAATAATACATAATTCAATTGGCTCGATAAAAATAATATTTCTACTTATACGTACAGTAACATAACTAGAAACTGCATGTAAATATGAAGAGTTTGGTTCCAAATCGCGATAAACGCCTTTTAAAAAAAAAATGAGTTTCCGTCTAAATCAGTATTGTATCTGGTCGGTATTGAAAAGTCCATTTTAAATTTTACGCAGAATGCGATATCCGCCGAGTTATTCTGTCATGTTTTCTCCCTTTGTTTCCAAACCGCGACAAACGCCAGTCTCCCTTCTCTGCAAAATGCGATATAGCCGCTCAACCAATCACAGCGCACCATTCCACGCACTCTAGACAGTAATGGCAGCTCTTTGAATACATCCGGCATCCTAGTTTTCCTCATCTATTTTGTACTTTGTGATCAACAAACAAACTTAGGGCTGCACGATAAATCGTATGTGATTGTCATGCGCATTTCGTCAGTAAAGCCGGTTCTGTGATTAATAGTAAATTTCCATCACGTGCTTTCAGATGGAGCGGCATTTAATACACAGAGCCGTAGATCACTGCTATATCGCATTCATAATCACAGATGAGTCGCATTCGATTATGAATGCGATATTGTGTAGCTTGTCAGTGTAAGTGTTTTTATTAATGCCATTTATGTTTTTGTTAGTACAGCATATAGCACTAGTAAACTAAATGAATGTAACATGGCAAAAATGAATGCGCTTTTGGAAGTTGAATGTAAGGGAAATGTCATTTGGGAATTTCTGTGGTTTAATGTGATATTGTTGTTCATGTATGTTCATGATGAAATTTCCTTTTATTGTTGTAATTAATTTAAAGCATTAACAAGATGACCTGTTGAATTCTTTTTGGGAGCGATGACTGATTGAATGTATTTTTAGTCCAGTGCCTGTATATAAGATTAGTATTGTCCAAGTTCAGAGGCTGTCATATGTGGATCAACTTACTATGTTGTGTATATTGTGTTTCAATATGAAAAATAACTTTTATTATTTTGATTCAATGGATGTATTGCATTTTGGGAAAAAAATACTTAAAATTTATAATAAATCTTTGAAAATCAAAATCTGGATTTGAATTGTTAATGTTATTATAACCTAAAGATGCTATGTGAAAGTTTGAAACCGAAAATAGAGGTTTTCATCTTGCCACTTTCTTGGTAAAGAAAACACATTTTTACTCAAATTAATCAAAATGGATTTATAGCATTTTGGAACCAAACTCTTCATATATAAAATATATATAACAGTAAAAAAATTAAATCAGTTTACATTTAAAAGAATACAAAGGAATACGATACAAATTATGAATTCAATTATTCAAGTTCAAAATAATATATCTACACATACACACAGTAATATAAAATAAATAGAAAGTGCATGTAAAAATATAAAATATAAATAATTTCAAAACTGTCAAAAATGCAATGAGTTTACATTTTAAATAATATAAAGGAATACAGATATATACAAATAATATATAAATATAACACTATATATATCCTATTTGTTATATATTGTAATTCTAATTAAAGAATATACGTGTAGTATGTAATATATAAATACTATATAAGTATACACAATAAACTTAGGAAAATAAAAAGTTTATTTAAATATAAAATAAATATAATATATAATATTTTGCATACATATTTTATTTTTGTTTTATTATTTTATTTTATCCCTATTTTATTTGCCAAGTTCTTGAATGTATTTTTAGTCCAGTGCCTGTATATAAGATTAGTATTGTCCAAGTTCAGAGGCTGTCATATGTGGATCAACTTACTATGTTGTGTATATTGTGTTTCAATATGAAAAATAACTTTTATTATTTTGATTCAATGGATGTATTGCATTTTGGGAAAAAAATACTTAAAATTTATAATAAATCTTTGAAAATCAAAATCTGGATTTGAATTGTTAATGTTATTATAACCTAAAGATGCTATGTGAAAGTTTGAAACCGAAAATAGAGGTTTTCATCTTGCCACTTTCTTGGTAAAGAAAACACATTTTTACTCAAATTAATCAAAATGGATTTATAGCATTTTGGAACCAAACTCTTCATATATAAAATATATATAACAGTAAAAAAATAAAATCAGTTTACATTTAAAAGAATACAAAGGAATACGATACAAATTATGAATTCAATTATTCAAGTTCAAAATAATATATCTACACATACACACAGTAATATAAAATAAGTAGAAAGTGTATGTAAAAATATAAAATATAAATAATTTCAAAACTGTCAAAAATGCAACGAGTTTACATTTAAAATAATATAAAGGAATACAGATATATACAAATAATATATAAATATAACACTATATATATCCTATTTGTTATATATTGTAATTCTAATTAAAGAATATACGTGTAGTATGTAATATATAAATACTATATAAGTATACACAATAAACTTAGGAAAATAAAAAGTTTATTTAAATATAAAATAAATATAATATATAATATTTTGCATACATATTTTATTTTTGTTTTATTATTTTATTTTATCCCTATTTTATTTGCCAAGTTCAGTGGAAACAGAGGCTGGATTTAAACTTAATAAAACTTAGACATAAGCACAATTTTATGCCGAAAAATGTGGGTACCTTCCCTCCAGGACACACCAGCCACAGTACGGATCTCTCTGAGCGACACACGACTGGCAGTCTGACTTCAGATGGCAGGCCTGTACGGGCACCTTTGTGATCTACACGACCACAAAACAATGAAATGATTCAAATAAAGCTGCACTCAATAGAGCTAGGATGCATCTAAAGGATGCAACGCAAAACCAGTCACAATTCAACAGACTTTAAAAGGTCCCAAGGAGACAATAGTCAAAACCGTAAAAAGTAAAGTCGTTTTTTGAAAAGTAAACGAAGCCTGTGTGTTAATCAGTTCAAGCGGAATTAAATGCACAAAATTACAGAGAATACAACAAACGGCAAAGCAAGAAGAATTTCAATAAACAATGCAATTACCCCACCTAAGGTCAAAAGCTCAGAAAGACGTACACTATATTGATGCCTTAAAAAAATAATAACGTATATTTCAGCACCAACAGGAGGCGTAACAACACAAGCCGCTGAAATAGTCGCAATCATGCGTTTCCTGAGGTCGAGGCGGCGATAATCAAAGAGTACACCGTCTATGATAAATGACTCCAGCCTCGTACCTTTTTCTCAGTGGTGATGTACAAGAGCGCCTGGGTTTTGTCAAAGAAAAGGTTCTTATTTATGTAGCCGCTGGTTTTGTAGCCCGGACCAGGGTTGTACGCCTCTGGATGGCTTGACAAATGTACCTGGGTAAAGAGAGAACAATAGACACAGAGAACTGATGGTCCATGGAAATGCTTTTTCGCAAATGTGTTATGCGATATTCCAACTGTGTGCATAAGTTAAATTTGCAACTTTGGATGGAAACCCAGCTATTGTCATAAAAAGAACTAAACAAAAAAAGTATTCTTTTGTGTTCCAGAGAGGAAAAACTCAGAGAGATTTGAAATGGCATCAGGGTGAGCACATGGTTTTGAATGGGTGAATGATCCCTATAAACCATAACTTTGAATACATTCCTATTTATATTCCCAGAGAGTGGTCGAACACCTCAAAGCCATGGGTTATAGCACCTTAAGATGAGGGTTTGTGCACCATGTGAATGTCGTTTTTTTTTATTTAACACAGCTTATCTCACCTTTATCACCTCTCCGGCATTGTGTCCCAGAAAAGCAATGGTGTGATCATTCTCGACAGCCACGGCCACCGCGGTCAGCAGGTTCTGCCTGATGAAGACGGGGCTGGCCTTCAAGGCAAACTCCTGTCGACTGGCCAATGGAGATGGGAGAAAATCGGCTCCGCACTTGTAATGGTTCACAATGCCTTTCTGCAATACAACAAAGAGTTAAGGGAAACAGACACTAAAATAAACATGATATCAAAATGTACTATTTATACGCTACTGGCCTAGCCTTGTTAATCTTTCATCAAAATATAATAACTTGCTCCAGCTCTACAAAATTATTCCTAGTATCTTCTTTCACTGCATCACATAAGTTAAATGGGTTATAAAAGAGCACATTTTGTAAATCTCTACCCTTCGGGTGCTATATGTTGAGCACATAAAAATCATTAGTTCTTGCTGCAGTTTTCCCAAAACACACTTTTAACCAGGATAATTTCAGGATGTAAGCAGTAGTGAAATAACTCAAAAATGTGGAGCGTGTTTACATGAAAGTTTAAAAAAAGAAACCATTTTAAATTATAATTCCGTTTCAAAGGGTTTGATCAACAGATCAAATCATCTAAAAAGTTGGATCTTAAATTAATATAAAAATATTATATATATTTAAAGCTGCAGTCCGTAAGTTTTGCCTCTTTGTCGCCATCTCTGTTTGAAAACCTGCAATTGCAGCTGTTTGAGGAATTATCTTCCTTGCGTGGGTTGTGCGCCAGCACAGCTCCAGGGCGAATGAATCTAATGCTTTGAGGAGTATGTGTGTGTGGCAATCAGTCACCGCACCGGTGTGGATATTGTACTTTGCACTCACAGATTCTAGCCTACGTCTTGGAATATATGACCCAAGTAAGAATTTTCACCGTATATTGTAATCTGAACAAGTAAATTACAAATCTGCCATGTTTGTTCTGACCAACTGAGGAAAAAAGCATTACAATAAATCTCGCTACCAATGGTGATTTAATCTAAAGATCTGTTAGCGTATATCACATCAAACCGTGCAAATTGTTATTATTGTTATACAAATTATTCATGTTAACAACATCAGCATTGCCTATAGTGTGTATTAGTGTGTAGATTTCCATTTCTGTACAGCCTAATCTCTAATTATCATGCCATTCAAATTTCATATTAAGAAATTCTTTTAACCAAAAAAGCAAATTATGCTCCCTTCAAACTGGTTGTCTTTAAAATACAAATCTTGTGTAATCCCAGGCTATCTGTAATCAGAAGCACATTTAAAATGGGAATATAATTTAATTTCATTCACATGCATTTCATAAACACATAATCCTTTCTGGATTACAATCCGCCATCAAAATTATACATTTAATTATTCCAGCTGCTGTGAGAAAAGGCTATAAACGATCGGCCACCTGCAGGATCCTCAGTCACATGCGATAGCCTAGTAGCCGGGACAACTTCTTTATGTTTACAGACATGACGTAATGACGTGGCAGCATGCTCGAATTTCCCACAAAACGGTCCTACCGCTCAAATTAGAAAACATTATTATAAACTGACCGTTGTGAATCAGGCTAATGTAAGGCGATAGTTTTGAACACTGGCTGGTTATGTACTTGCTCAATAATTTGTAACCAAAAAAAGGACTGCAGCTTTAAAATAATCTTAAATATATGTCATATAATTAATATATAATATACTGTATATGCTATAATAATTATACATATGTATATATATATATATACACACACACACACATACATAAACACACGTAAATGACTAAATAATTCCATGTAAATAATGGGAATCAATGTAGAAATAAAATAAAATTAAATATATAAAATCTAAAATAAAAAAATTAAAAATTAAAGCTAAGCTAAACACTGTCAGTTGTTAAACTGGCAAGAAATACATTTTCCACTTTGATCAATGTTATGAAAAGCTGCTGCTTACATCATGTTTGACACATGGATCATCTTTACTGGACGTGTAGGGACTCTCCACAACTAATCTGTCGTCAATCTTGCCGTTGTTCGTGTAGCATGCGGTAACGATGGCCAAAAGTTTTTGGTTGATGTTTTTAAGGGGATACATACACAGAGCTGATTCGGTGGCTCCTTCCTCTGAGCTAGCCACCACAAACAAGACTTTATCCCATTCCCGGACATTCCCATACTCTCCGGATTCGGACATGGCCTGAGCCAGCTCTTTCCCCGGGTCTGTCAAATATGCGGCCTGGACTTTATTGTAACGATTCTTCACACCACAACTAAGCTGAAGCTCCGTGTACGAATAATAGTGATTGTCGTTCTCGCAGAGGCGCGAAACGAAAGTAAAGTTCTTATTGTCTGTTCCGCCGAGAGTGCGTGAAAAGAGGAAGTAGACAAAGTTGTCATTTTTGAAGGTGAAGCGGAAGTCGTGAAGATACTTGGGCACGAAGGGAACAGCCTGGACCGTAGACGCCTCGATGATGCTCTCGAACACGACCCAGTCGCGGTAGTTCTGCACGATTCTGGTGCTGATGAGTTTGGAGCTGTCCATGCTTCCGTAGCCCTTCCCGACTAAAAAGACGCTGAATGGTTTATCATCAATTTCAAGCGTGGCCATGACTCCTACCACGGAAACGTGCTCTTCTGTGCTGGCGGCATAGGTCCGCTCCCCTTTGCTGTCGCTGTAGTATATCTGCTCTTTGACGTTGGTGAGGTTGAGCAGAGAGCAGATTCCTCGGTATAAGCTCCCACAGACTATCAGCGACCCGTTATCTGAATGAACCAGCAAGAGTTTATTGGTGTTGTTGGTGTCTTTCAGGTCCTGACAAGTAGACACCGGAGGGGTGCAACCCCTCGCATCTTTCTTGGGCCCAGTTTCAGCTCTGGCCTCAAGATACAATGAAGAGTTCAACTGATAAATGGTATTGACAGCACCCAGGTAAACACGGCCAGTCTGTGGGTCCTGTGCCACATTATTGATGGGCGTATCTGTGGAAAAATCCAGTATGGGCTCTTCAGAAGATGCAGTGGTTACTTGTAGCACCAGTAGGACCGCTGGTAACCAGGTGGCCATTGCTGGAAAAAGAAAGAGTTTGAATTAGGACAAATGACAAAATGCAAAGTTCAGATGTTGTGGTGTCAATTTGTTGGGGCATTGAATTGCGTGGTTAAGCAAGTATAAAATTGAGGTTAATTAGTAGTGCATGCTAATTACATCACTATTACTGTTGCTCATATGCTTTAGAACTGTAAAAACATTGTAGCAACCACCCTAGCAACACCCTAGAAACCACCCAGAAAACATAAACACTTACTAAAACATCCCAGCAACACTCAAGCAACATCCTAGCAACCCCCAGAAACACCACAGAAACTTCCTAGAACAACCACCCAGAACATCATAGAAAACCCCTTGAACACCATAGTGACCACCCAAAACATCACAGAAACACCCTAGCAACCCTCAGAATGCTTTGGCAACCTCCTAGAACATACTAGCAACATCATAGAGACTCATAGAAACTACATTGAACACTCTGGAAACCACCCAGAACACCTTTGGCAACTTCTTAGAAAAACCCAAAACACCACAGAAATCCACTAAAACATTCTAGCAGCATCCTAACAACCTCCAGAACATAAAAACTCACTAGAACATCAAAGAAATCCCATAGAATACCATAGCAACCACCTAGAACACCTTAGCAACACCCTAGCAACCACCCAGAAACCCACTTGAACATCCTAGCAACCACCTAGAATACCCTAGCAACACCTTAGAAATACCCCCCCCCCCAAAAAAAAACTAACAAAAACAAACATCCAATAAAACATCATAGCAACTCTTGAGCAACATCCTAACAACCCCTGGCCCTGGACACCATTGAAACTGTTTAGAACAATGACTGTTTAGACATAATAGCAACCACACAGAACATCCTAGCAACCAGCAAGGTATCCACTGCTGTAAAAAAGTGTCCAAATGAAAAAGTGTCCAAAAAGTGAACACACAAACACATGAGCACTACAACAGTTGGTGAAGGTCACTACAGGTGGATTTGACCACAACACTCAATCTCTCAGCCCATTCATCCCTTCGGAGAAACATTCTTCAAATTAAAAAGCCTGACGAGGCTCAAACCTGGCCGGCAGTTTTATGATGTTAACCTGCCATTCCCTGGAGTTCCATCAACGCAGGGAAGTGATAATGCACTCACCCTGAGGGTTGAGTTAATTTCAGTTCTTGAATTCATTTACATAAAAACCCCTGCCCTTCTATTGGCAATTTTCATCTTTTTTCCACCATCTCCCTGCTGATCACGAAGCTCATTTATTACAAATTCCATTTCTTCACGTAAATGTAGCTGCCCTTTTTAGTTCATACCCTTAAACAATTCTTTTTAATTTGGAATGGTGGCTTAAATTGGTTTACGTCGCTCGTCCTCTTTTCGGGAAGTGCTTTGTTATTATTTTACTTTGTCCTGAGGACGTTTTTGCACTTTTTAAAAAACTTGTATTGCAGCAGTTTAGGTGGAAATCAGGTGTAGATTGGTGCTATAGTCACAAAGTGTGACCAATCATCCAATGCGATCTCTGCAATGTCTCAATTGTTTCTCCTAGACAGTAAAGAGACGTATTAATGTGTTTGGAAGTGTTACTGACACTGTAGAGAAGAAACAACGCAAAATGAGATATTTTGTAACGTCTTGAGTCCGGGGGCGTAGATTACGCGGGGGACGTGTCCCCCCCACTTTTAATATCACGTAAATTCGTCCCCCGCACTTTTTCGGGCAAGTGTGTTCGCATAGAGGTTTTCAAGAGCCAGTGTGAATAAATATAGATTTAAATTAAAAGAGACTGGATAGTCTGTGCATGATCTGATGTTTTATTCGGACCCAGAATAAGGCGACATGAACATCACGGAGCGCTAAACATTCCGTGCAGTGTATGTTTCATTCATACTCGAAGCCGGAGGGCGCTCTCACGCAGAAAGTCGTACGAGGAAATTCCTAATATGGACAAAAACGTCCAGCTATCGCTGTATGAAAACAGTTGTTTTCAGAAAAACAGAAACGTTTGGAAACATGAAGACATTAAACATACGATTGCGACAATATGGTTTATTTGTGTTTGTCAAGTCCTCTCCAGGTAATAAATAAAGTATATGAACAATGCAGTGCTAACTGACATAGCATTTATTACAGTATTGAAACTATTCTGCCTTATTATGTGATAAAAAAATATTCTGATTTGCTGCTCAAAAAACATTAATAATAATAATAATAATTAAAAAAGGTTTCTCGAGCAGCAAATCAGCATATTAGAATGATTTCTGAAGGATCATGTGACACTGAAGACTGGAGTAATGATGCTGAAAATACAGCTTTGATCACAGCAATCATTTTAAAATATAAGAAAATAGAATATTTTACAACATTACTGCTTTTGCTGTATTTTGGATCAAATAAATGCAGGCTTGGTGAGCAGAAGAGACTTCTTTATAAAACATTAAAAATCTTACTCTTCAAAAACTGTTGACTGGTAGGTTATATAGATTACAGAAATATATATATATATATATATATATAAAACATTTCTGTCCCCCTAACTTCTGAAATGATGTGCTACGCCCCTGCTTGAGTCCCAAAGTTTCCCTGTGGGAAAGAAAAAGAAATCACAAATGAGGTTTATGTAACATCTCAGATGTTTCTCCTAAACAGCAATGAGTTCAAATGAAGACCAAATTAAGTCTTTTGCTTATGAGTGAAACTGAGAGCAGATTAAACTGAAAGCAAATTGAGACTTTTGCTTCTGTCTAAAGTGAGACTGAACCTGAAAAAGAGAAAAATCATGAAGATCTCCAATCTCTCAACTGATTCTCCTAGAAAGTAAAGATATTAAACGGACAGATACTGAAGACTTTTTTTTGTGTCCACAGCGTGTGACTAAATGGAGAGCAAATGGAGACTTTTTCTTGTTTTTGAAAGCATGAACGATCCTATTTGTAAAGACAAACCACCAATGAAATCTCTGTTATATCTTAATTGTTTCACTCAGACAGCAATTCAATTAAGAGCATCTTAAAGTATGTATCTTAAACTAAAGAGATGAAACAGATAGATACTCAAGACTTTTTCTTCACCAATAAGACTAAGGACCAGATTTACTATCAGCTTGCATCAGCTCAAACCCTCATTTTGCGTTAAAAAAACTACTGTCAGAATTTACTAAAGACACGCAGTGGGAAATAAGCGCTGAAAAGGTGTGGACAGTTATTTTTGCGACTCACCATATTGAATATCCATTTGTAGGAGTTTCCCTTTCGATCTGTACATTTATGGGAGGAGGGTATTTAAATCATGCAACATGATTTAGATTTGTGCTTGTCAATTCACTGGTCTCTGCGGCATTATTTAATGCCCCAAAAAAGCATGTCTTAAAGCAGGCGGTATTTTGCGGTAGTTTACTTGTCGGTAAATCACCCGCAGAATTGTCTCCTCCCATCTGCACTTTTATGGAATTGTGGTCTAACTCTAATTTGCCCTGTTTAGTAAATCTGGCCTTAAAATGGAGGTCAGAAGGAGAATTTTGCTTACATGTTCTATTTGTCACACTATTCACTTGAGAAAAATACAATAGTAATCTTATGAGCCTCCTCTAAACATTTAGAAGAGATCTTAACAATTTCTCTGTGACTTGAAGTCTCCCAAAGCCAAATAACCTGAGCTGCCATCCACATCTTCCCTATCCCCTTCTCTATTTGTGCCCGTTTCAGGAATCTGAGGAGAAACATCGAGGATGAAGTTGATCCTTCAATGTCTCATTTGTGTCTATTACTTTTGGAGAAACATCTCATGCAAAGTTGATGCTGAAACCTCCAATAACCTTCCTGAGAAGCACCAATCTGTGAGCAATCAAATTTTGCTCAGAGATTTACTTTGGGATTGGGTTTCGGAGCACTATGGAAGCTAAGACCATCTCCATGCATGCCTGCAGGTGCTTGAAAGGAATCACAAAATATTTAACCTCTAATCTAGGAAGACAAATGACAGCATTTACTGACAGCGCTAGACCTGAAAGGACATTTCAGCTCTAACTCAATACTGAGCTCATGGACACAAAGGAAATGGGACGTGGACATATAGATCAGCGACGGAGACTTCGCTTAAGAATCACACATATATCTTCAGGGATCCAATTACCCTGACGTGTGTATTCGTAATGCAGGACAGAAGGTCAAGACACACTGGCCTGTGTCCATTAATTCTGTTATTGCCGTCAGTGCGGAGAGCAGCCTTGGAGAAAACTTAGCCGTCTGTCTCAATTAAGGCAGACGACAAAGCGCAGGATTCAAATGCTAATTTGTAGGGGTGTTGAGTTTCTTGGTTAAGTGAGTATAAAGGTGAGGTTAATTAGTAGCGCTTGATAGATCAAACACTTTTACTATTGCTCAAACTTTGGGTGTGTCCAACAGACATGAACCTTAAACCTCATGTGGTTTATTGAAAATAGGTACGCTGTTACTTATATAAGCAATTAGACTTACAATTTGCAACCACAGAAACCACTTAGAACATCCTGGAAAAGACCCAGAATATTCTAAAAAGACCATAGAACCATAGAAACCCCTTAGAACACTAGCAACTACCCAGAGCACACTAGAAACCCCCTAGAGACCCCTTAGAACACTCTAGCAACCACCCAGATCACCTACCTTGGAAACTGCCCTTGAATACCCTAGCAACACCCTAGAAACCACATAGAACATCATAGCAACGTCACAGAACACCCTGAAAACCCTTTAAAACAGCCTAGAAACCACCTAAATCATCCCGAAACTCCCTTTAATACCCTAGCAAACACCAATGGCTTGGTAACCTCCTAAAGCACCCTAGCAACCACCTAGAACACCACAAAAGAACATCAAAACAACTTCCTAGAACATCCAAGCAACCACCAAAAACACAACGGAAACCCATTAAAACATCACTAGCCCTCCCTAACCCTACCCGATACTTTATTTTCAACTTTTTGATTGTTTCCTTCATTTTTATTGAAAATAAATGCGTTGCTGA